TCGTACGTACGGACACCTGTTTGGTGGACGGGAAATCATGGGAGTAAGGCGGCTGTGGATGGCGATGGAGGACAAAGACCCTGGACAATGTGCCACGCGAATTGGGTCCCACGTCCGAGGTGCTGGATCGTCAATGGATGGATGCGACAGGCACGGAATCGACCCGTCATGGCGGGTGTGCCGAAGGGCCTTTACTTTTGGTGAAACGGAACGGCGCGAGAGATGCGGAGTCTTTGTGCTGCCGGTGTCCTTGTATTTGGGAAGTCTCTATCACAACTTCATGAGGAATGCCAGACGACGCGAGATTCCTCTACTCCGTACTCCGTAATAGTCGGTACGGACAGAAGGGGTGACAGAGGGGCTTCAAAGACAGGGGTAGGGAGCAAAGTCGTCGAGGGAAGACGGCGCGCGGTGTCTGACGCTGCAGACGCGGGCGGACTCGTGGAGCTGAAAGAAATGGAGGAGGCTCGAGGAGATGATGGTGATTGAAAGAGCGATTGCCCCAATGCCTCAGGCTTGCCAGGATGGAATTACTTCTCGGGGAGCCCTGTGCTTGCAGTTTGCCCATGTCGGCGTTGTCTCAGCGGGTATGTTCCTGTGCTTGTGTTCCTTGTCGCGCTTGTTGTGCAGTGATTTCGTATCTCGATATGATGCGGAGGAATGGGGGCGGCATGCATGTTTTGCTGCAAGTGCTACGAGTGCCTTGTCGACGACTCAGGGGGTGCTCTCTCATAGGTTGATAACATTGCGACTACACACCGTGGCTGGCTGGGAGTCTTGGGGGGGTCGATTGGAACCCAAGCCGGTGCCGATGAAAGCAAGTGGGCAAGAAGAACAGAGTGGCCGACTATTAGGTTGTAGTTGTGTGGTATCGCAGAGACGCGTAGCCAAAGTTTGAGTAGGTGTCCGTATTGGAGAGATATCTCGACGTTGGTGTTGGAAGTTTGAAACTGATTCTGGTACTCAGTACGTACTTCTTACACAGCAGCAAGTGCACAGTACCACGGTACCTACTGTGTAAGGTAAGGTACCTTGGGTATGCATGTCTTGCTCGCTGCCGGTGCAAATGGATTGGGATTGGTGCGCGCTGCAGTACCTTAGGTACCGAAGTTCGCGGCGTGGACTTGTGGAGAGACTCCCTTCGGCATTTCCTCGGTTGCCATTGGCTGCGATTGGCTGTCATTGCTGTGTCTGGAAAGTGTCGTGCGGCGTGCCTTCTCCATTCCTGCACAACACAACTCTGGTGATGCAGGCACAGACAATCATGATTTTCCACTCTGAAAGATATACGGAGTATCCGTACGGAGACAACTTATGATTGGTCAGCCATACCTCAGTGCGGATGCTTTGAATCCGAAAACATGTCCCTGAGGTGTGTTGTGTTCACTATTGAGTTCTCAGCCAAACTCCAAACCCTCGAAACCCAATCCCGACACTCACTCACAGTTTGTCGCAGCTTCCTGACTCTGGTGGCGACGGGAAACTCTACCTACAGATACCCTACGCCAGTGATGGGCACCGAAAGGCGGTCGGAGACAATACGACAAAAGTTTGAAGTTGATACGGTGTTCTAGGCGACAGCGGATCAGTCCTTTGCATTGAAACCTACTCGATGACAACTCGAGTGAATACTATGAGTACTTTGGTAAACGAACCACGCTGCAGTGGGTTCGTTCGTCTGATGCCCGCAATGACACAGCAGCATCGCCTTCTGGAAGAAGAGAAACCGTCGTTTCGTGTTTGGTTGTGTGGTTCAACGGCATTCCTTGGGGAACCCTTCCCGCCCGTCCACCGTTGGAGATCATCAGAGAGGTATACAGTCGCATGCTGGCCCGTTGTAATATTGTCGCACTGTCGGCTAGTCATGGCTGCACAGCTTGGATGCAGACTATTATATTGAGGGATAATTTGTGGATTTTGTGCGTGTTTCCTAGCAACGCACGGGACGGTGACGGAAAGACCACTCAAATTACGTTGGACCGGTGTGAGGCAACCACGCAACGGCAGGTCAGGAACGACAGGCACGAGGGGGGCTTCCTTCCTTTTGGCCTGGGGCGATTTCTTAGATGGGTGTGCCAGTGCGCACCACCAGCCAGTGACAGACGTCGCCATCGCAGCTGACACTGTGCTAGCGCCGCCGCCGCCGCCGCCGCCGCCGCCGCCTTTCTGCCTTTCTACCTGACTTGCTGGCCTTGGAAGTTCCTGCCCATCTGGCCTATCCCACAGGCTGGGCCCTTCCCTCCCTCCATCGTTCTGGTAGTAGCCGTAGTCCCCGTGCCACCTTCCCGCCCCTCCCTCCCAAACGCAACCACGGACCACAGACCACAGACCGCGGGCAGCCCACAGACCTCAAACCGTCTGTGACCCAACAGCGAGAGAAGGTGCAACGTGCCTGCAACTTGCAAGTAAAAAGGCAAGTGCGGTGCATCTCAAGTATAAACCTCCCATTTCTGCTTGCCCCGCCTTCTGAAAAGGAAAATCAAAGGAAACACAGCTTGATTGCCGTATTCGGGCGAGTCTTCCAGGTTGAGAGATATGAAGGTACCTAAGGTAGACACTAGAAGCAGAGGAAGGCAAGCATCACGCATCTCTCTCCTGCCGTACCATGGCATGGCACAATCGTGACTTCCCATTCTCTGGTTCGTGATGGTTACCTGCCTATAGGGCAATAGCAGAATCGACATCACCTTCCCAGTTTCTCTTTTCTCATCTTGACAGAATCCAGTAGTTTAATGCCCAAGGTACCTACCTGCCTTAGGCAATGCATTCGACGGTCAATCTTCTAGCACCACCCACCTTTCACATTTTTCCAGAGAACGGTGTCTGATGAAAGAGGTCCCCCCTCATGTCAACACATACACCACTCGATCCACCACCACGCAACACGCACAAAGCATAAAGAACCACGCGCCGTAGGCCACTCACCGCAGGCCGATTGCGATTTCCCAGGCGACAGCGGCGACAATGGCGGTCGCGCCGCTTTGCTCCGTCTTGCCCCCTTTCTGTTCGGTACTTCGAGGCCCAGTTAGTTCATCGTCGCTCGATATCTACGGAGTACTATACGACGACACCGCCCCTGCGAAACATGAAGCTCCAATATCCGTTGAGGATCCTTCGTCCCGCTGTGGACTCACTCAAAAGCCACGATCCATCACGGCAGACAGTGTCGGAGCCGACTGCTCTCCAAAGATGATGACCCGTCCAGCTCGTGGTCGCGAAGATGGAGGAAGAAAAAGGGAGGAGGAAAGTCTGGAGAGTTGGACCCAGCCTTTGTCGAATACGGATAATTGGCTGTCCATCTATGGAGGTACTTGGATCCTTGGTCTATTCCTACGGTTACTTACCTCAACGTTCAGGGTACCTCTGCCTCTACATACGGAGCCTGGAGTAATACCTTGCCTTACAGTTCTGACTGTTCTGGAGACAGGTCCTTGCCCATTGGCAATCCAAGACCCAGGGTTATGGGCACGAGTACGAGCATGGGTATGGCATGGCATGGCACTTTAGCTTCCCTTTTTTCCAATCAACTCCCTCCGGCACGGGATTCCTCCTCCACGACTAGTCGACCACAGAGGAGTGTACAAAGTACGGAAACACATACCTGGCCATGCCACATGAACACATATCACGATTTATTGCGGCCATCTGAGATGCACTCCTACGCGGCGAGTCGGAGCAAGACGAGACGAGCCGTTTCTCTCCTCTCTCACCATGCCCACCACAATAATTACCATGGCATATCCACTTACCACGCACACCACACCGCACCGCGCTCAGTTTGTCAGGGGTACCTAGCTCCGCGGTAATGCCTGGGCTCCTCCGTCTCCTTCCCGTCTGCCGCGTGCGCCTGCGACTTGCACAGGGCAACAACGGGTAGTTACAACGGCACAAGCCATGTGCGTATCGGGCTCTGGGGGACAGACGGTCAGACATTGTCATAGCCGTGGGCAACAGAGTCAGTGCCAGCGTCAACACGCAGCTCCTTCTCGCATCAACAACACTCTCTCGACACAAGACCGAGAGGTACATCAGCAGAACCAAGGGAATAAAGGCTCTTGAGCCTCAGGTGTTGCGAGATGACCAAACCTTGCCGAGCTTGGGAACATGTTCTAACGGAGCAGCAGGAGAGAAGCGAATGACGATGGCGCAGCCTGTTGAGAATGATTTTGGAGGTGGCCATCCAGATGCGAAAGTATCCGGACCTCACAAGGTACGAACAGGTGTCTGGACTCTGTACTATGCCCTGTCGTCAAGACTTAATGATGGGTCAACGGGCTCCCCGCCAGTCACGACGGATACGGAGAGGATAGGACAGGATAGATTGAGACGGAACATCACCAACGCCATTGCGGCAAAGCTAATCAAGTCTACAGTGTGAGCCCATGGACCATGACAATAACAGACCCTGACCGACACTAGTATTACCCTATCTACTACGGATAGTGTGGTGAGTGAGTGAATAAGATGGAGAGGTACGAAGACTGACTGACTGGCTAGTTGAATGGGCGACAGCGGGATGCCTTGGGTAAGGTACGGATAGCTAGGCTTGTTTCCGCACGTTGCTCTGGGCGAGCCGACTGGACCCCAGAGGTCATGGCATGGACCCCCAATTCCTCAGACAGCGGGCCCCAGGTGAGGGTGAAGAGGTTTGGAGGTTCCGAGATTCGCCATATCGTACAGAGGAAACCTTGGGCAGAGAACCCTTGCCGAACCGAAGGAGACCGGGGTGGGGCATCCAGTCCAGCCAGACGGTGAAGACTTTCGTTCCCTCTCTCCGTCTGTCTATGCGTAGGTACTCCGTACTGCGATACTTTACAGAGACAGGTTCTAGTGGGTTGCACTAAGGCGAAGAAGAAAAGACACACTGACCTCGGGAATGTCAGTCCCCGCTGCCAGATGGACGGGCTATTAGCGGCGCTGTCAGTGTCAGATCTGAGGTCTGTTCATGTTCAGCAACCTCAGCTCAGGCAAGATACCTAAGCGTGCTAAGGTAGGCGAGGAATCTTGCTTGTACCGGCGTGAGCTCATGTTGCCCTGGAGTTGTTGATGCAGCTCCCCAACGGGTACTTTCTGTATATGACTTGCTCTACTACATTGGAGAGGCTCAACCTAAGTCTCAGGCACAAAAACATACGGATACATAGACAAGGCACGACTCTCATCATCGTCAGTCGCCCTGGGCCATCCCCCGACCCTGGTTCGCATCTGGCCCTGCCCTGTCAGTCTCCGGTGCTGGGTCCTTGACTCCTGGTCGTGGAGACCTAGACCTCCTGGTAAAGGTATCCGTGAGGTGCGGATAGTGTGGTGTAGACCGCATAATGGGCTCCTCTATTTTCCAATTGTTCCCTCCACCGTCTCTTTCTGCCCTGTCAGTCATTCTCCTTGCCGTTGTGGTCCCTCCCGGGCCCTTGTCAAGCCTGTGTTCCTTTTGCCTTCTGCCGTTCGGGTCGTTGCCACACCCTTCTTCTTTCCCACACTGCCCTGGCTTGAACTTCATCAAGTCTCTTTGGATCCCCGTTGGCTAGTCCCCGTCCGTTCGGTGGGGGCCCATTTCATCAGCTGTGTTCACTGGGTCCCATTGTCGACAACGGGGGTTGAAAGTGAGTGACGGGAGAGAGAGAGAAAGAGAAACTGCAAATCCAAAGGAAGGGGAGAGGGGACCAGAAAAAAAAATTTAGAGAGAAGCTCCCCTTTTTAGCCTCGTCACTTCAGCTTCTTTTTTTTTTTCTCCTTCCATGCTGCAGCAGCACCGAATTTTCCCTCCTCGCTCAAATCTCTTCCCATCCTCTTTAACCTCCCCTTCACCCCCCCTCCCTCACGGTTCATCATCATCCTCCTCCTTCGACCTTTTGACCTTTTTTGAGCCTCAACACCAGGCAAAAAAAAGTAGTAGCGTCGGTCACCTCATCGTTCCTCCGTCCCTCTTATTTATCTATCTTATCCTCTCCCAACCCGTTCCCTATTATTCACCTCCCTCCTCCCACATACCTTAGCATCTATTACCCAAGGTACCTACGCACCACCAACCAAGGGAATACAAACACACCCCTTTGCGCCTTGCCCTATCCTACCTTGAATCAAGGCGCACCACACACCAATCCCCAAGCGATCGCGTGTCAAGCGTCTGCAACCCGCGTCTGCGACTGCGACTGCGACTGCGTCTGTGTCTCTGGTACTGCGTGACCTGCGTCTTCGGCGGAAAAAACGAGCGAACGAGCCCCCCCCAGGGCCAAGCCAAGCAAAAGAGAAGTTGAGAAGTTGAAAGAAGGAGATCCTGGCAAAAGCAAAAAAGCAAGCACCAGCCCGCTTGCGCCCATCCCGCAAGGAGCCCGCCACATACCTTTTCCATACCATTGACTGGACCGCTCGCCCTCCCCCACGCCCCTACATAACATCCACCACGGCATTTTTTCTGGTCCTGGTCACAGCGTGCGACTTTTTTTTCCTTCCTCTTCTCTCTCGGCTGCTCGCATCTCCTCCCAACCTGTTTTTTTCCTGACCCATTTTCGGAGGGGGTCTCTGCACGACTATAACGACGAGCGATCCGAACGAGCGAACGGCCGTCCATCCACACACGAGAGAAAAACTTCCTGCGACTTTTCTGTTGCATGCTGCGTGTTTGGTGAACTGCACTTGCACACTGCATTGCATCGCACAGCAATCAAGGTTGCTGCCGCTGCCTCCGTCCCCGACCGACGCCGCCTTTTTGCGTGTTGCTGTCACTTTGGCTTTAGCGAAAGTACTGCTGCTCCGCATCGCCCGCCATTTCCTGAAGTCGCCGATTCCCTGTCAGTCCCTGGGCTCACTCGCGTTGTCCACACGTCAGTCGGTCGGTTTTGTCGAGGGCTTTTTTCGCTGCATCTGCCAACTGGCCCCCCTTGCCAACCCAACCTGCATCTCCCTCACACATCCGCATTACCGCCCTCCCGCCTTCTCCTCCTCCCTCCCGCTCCCCGTCGGCACATCACACGGGTTACTGGTCATCAAATCCAGTAGCTGCCGTCCCCGGGTCTACATCTCGAAAAACGGAAAAAAAAAAGAAGACAATGAGCCAGCAACAACACGACATGTATCTCGACTACTCAGCCCCCCCGAATCGCTCCCCGAGCTCCTCGAGGCAGTATGCGGGCGGCTTTCAATCTGGTCTGTCCCTTCCTCGTCAGGCCCAGCGACCTTTCGATAACGGCTTGGGTTCCTCTGCTCTGTTTCCTTCCGACCGCCTTGGTTACAACCCCAGAGCCATGGATCAAATGTCTGCGAATGGAATGCCCGGAGGATATATGCTGGACAACAGCCAGGCCTGGAACTACAATGCTGGTGGTGTCGCGACCGTCAACGGTGCCATGAACGGCGCCAACAGACAGAGGAGCGTCAATCGCCGAGCCGCTCTCCCCACCGTAAGTCTTTTTTCCTCATCTCTCCGCTCTCTGCAGTGTAGTCGTGATCTGACCGCCCGTAAGAACTGGACCGATCAAGGACTCGGCATGCACGGCTCATATGGCTCCGGCCTCAACGGTGGAATGTCGAATGGCCTCCGCTACGACGGACAGGGTGATATGCGTCCCAGCTCGCAGACGGAAGAGCAGCTGATCCCTACTGCCATTGTTATCAAGAACATCCCCTTCGCCGTGCGAAAGGAGACGCTTGCCGCCGTCATGTTGGAGATGCACCTGCCCCAGCCCTACGCCTTCAATTACCACTTCGACAACGGCGTGTTCCGTGGTTTGGCCTTTGCCAACTTCCAGTCCCCCGAAGATACCAAGATTGTCATCGACGCCATGAACGGTATGGAGGTCCACGGCCGAAAGTTGAGGGTCGAGTACAAGAAGATGCTGCCAGAGGCTGAGCGAGAGCGTATCGAGCGCGAGAAGAGGGAACGACGTGGTCAACTTGAAGAACAGCACCGCGCCCCGATGCTGCACCAGCAGCCGTCTCTGCAGACCCTGAACAGCGTCTCCAGCAACCCTCCCCGCGCTCCCCTCGGTACGTTTTGAAGCCATGAGATTCATTTGACACCTGCTGACTGACTTTGTAGAGGGAGATATTGATCTCAACGATCCCGAGACTCTCGAATTCTACACCGAGCTTACTCTGTTTAAGCGTGACACCAGCCGTGAAATTCTCATCTTCCCCAACTCGGTTGCCCCCGAGCAGCGCCGTCGGATCCACATCCTCGCCCATCACATGGGCCTAGAGCATAACTCTGTGGGAGAGGCCGAGTCGCGCCAGATTCACGTTGTCAAGCGCCAGCTCCCCTCACCCACAGCGCAGATCCACTCCCCCGCTGTCGGTTTGGATTACCACAAGAAGGGCCTCAGCAGGGCAGCCACCTTCGACTTCGCTGCTGACAGGGAGGCCCGGAGCGCCAGCACCAACTATTCCCATGCCATGGGCCGCCAAGGTCCGACCCTGGAGCTCCCCGGAAGCCCTGATGGAAATGGCCTTGCCAACCTTCGCGCTGCCAAGAGCTTCGCTGATCTGCGATCCTTCAGCCCTAGCCCGTCTGCGTCCTCTTCGAGCTATTTGACGGCCATGAACGGCATTGGGAACATTCCCCAGTCTGGCAACTCGGGTGCCCGCTTCGGCGACTACAACGGAGGTGTCAACCAGTCCGCCGCGCTTGCCACTCCCAACCTGACGCCTACCTCTGGTACGGTCGGCACTCCTGGTACCGACAGCAGCCTGCTCAGTTCGCTTGGTGGACTCAACCTTGGCTCCTACGAGTCGGCCGCTCATTCCCAGGCGCGAAGCACTCCTGGTGCTATTGGAAGCCAGCGCCCCGGTGCCAACAGCGGCAACCGCAACGCACCCGAGAGGCAGCCCAGAGGCCCCGAGTGGGAAACTTCCGCCGGCTTCAGCGGCCGCAACCGCTCCAACGGCCACATGCAACGTGGAAGCGGTAAGTCTCTATTTGTCTGCCAAAAGTCAATGTCGAGTTCAAGAAACTAATCCCATGACAGACTCTTCCGACAACGCACCCCGTGCTGGAAGCGCCGGCGCATCTCGATTCCACTAGACAAGAACCATAATTAACCTCGCCGAGACTGCCACGACAACCATTACAATGAGGAAACGATTCATGACTCGCGACGCATAGAGACTACAAACGACATTCGACGAGTTCACCGCAGCACACCGCAGCTCGCGGTAATCGACAAACCCCCACCCTGTGTTATACCTACCATTGCTTTTCATGATGGACACTCCCCCACAACCACATCCATATTGCTTATAATGATGATTTGTTGGACACGAGCCTTTGGCAGCGTCATGATCTTTCGCTCGGCCGTCTCGGATTTGGTGGATAGAAGAATTCCCAGTGTCGCGGCGGCATCCAACTTCGGATTCACGGCACCCGCCCGGCAAGGAAACCTTGGCTCATGGCTGTTTCAACGACCAGAGAAGGATGAACGGAAAAGAAACTTGGATACAAGAAAAATACCTGATATGGGCAACCATTTCGACATGGCAAAAAAAGGCCCATGGGCGGTCCCCCTATACCCTCCTGTTTCCCCGCCATACCTCCTTTCATGGCGCGCGGGAGCATATGAACCACCCTTGACGATGAATACGCTGTTACGACCTCTTTATGTCTAGATAGCTGTACCAGCATGCTCGACAAAAGCCGCTTCTTTTTGGATGACGAGACCATGCCTTTCGGCGACCATGACTATACCCACCTAATTACCACGGTTCGGCAAGTTTTGATCAAGACGACCCAAGACTGATGTTGCCTTTGGACCCTCTTTTGACGGCCAAGATCGGTTGATTGTCGGCTTCGGAAAACAATGCCAGCTCTTGATTGGGCTCACCGACGAAAAAAACAAGTTTGATTTGATTTTGGGCGTCTTTTCTAACGCGCCGGCATTTCCTGATTTTCTTCACTATCTGGTCTTCATGTCCCCCCGGCCCTGAACCCCTCGAACTACTCTTTGTCTCAATTTGCAAAGAGTCGTCCATGGAATGCTTTGAGCGTCCCCATGGATGGTCTTTCGGGACGACTTCGGCGGGGACATTGGCGTTGAGGCTGCATTGGGGGCCGATTGGTCGTGTTTTGTGTGGTCTTTTGATCGACCTACTACTACTGCTAGAGTTTTCCGTGTTTTTTTTTTTTCGTTGGATTTACATGCATTTGTGAGCATCTGAAGCAGGGATGACAGGACGAGATCAGTGGACGATCCAATGTCGATATTTTCCAAAGGAGAAACAAGACACGAGAGAGATGAGATGGCAGATGCGAGGACTGGCCAAACTATTTGCGTGTAATGTGCATCGGCACAAAGATAATTTTGATGAAGAGAGAGGATGACGATGTACCGAGAGAGAGCCGCACACACTAGGCAGCTTACCTATGCTATTTTGCGCCTTGTCAAATATACTGCGTTTGATTTGATACCGAGTCTCTTGGCCATGGTGCTTATTGTGAGGACGGCACGCGAAGAGGACCTGAGGATTTCTTTATTGTGAGGTTCTGGTTGTTCAAATCTACCGCACGTACCTGAGGAAAAGATGCCTGGTATAAATCACAAGTTGGGGGTCTTGGGTCAAGATTCTGTTCTTACAAAGAAGGGCACAGTTCATGTTCTGTTTCACGACATTTCGTGACATTTCAGTGGGTGGGTGAGCAGGCGGTAAAGTCGATCCTTTGTCTCATGAAACGGGTTGTGATGTGCATGACAGATGGCGGGTAAAGGATACGGGCAGGAAGGACCAGCCGGACTCCGAAGACTGGTTATACCTTAAAAAGGGCCAGGATGGTTATTGATGATGGGGGGCAGTCAGCTGCTTGAACTCGTTGAGTCTACCATACCTTGACAACGAGATATCGTTCTTATTCACAATGTGGCTAATTCTCTCGCTCGTACTCGTAAGAAAACCCAGATATCATGGAGATGATACACACACACGCTTACACACTTTCAACTCTAGGTCAATGTTGCTGTATTCATTCTCCATCGTCGAAGTCGACGGAGAGCCTAATTCTACCTCTTTAACTTGGATGAACAACAAGATCCATCACCCGAGATCTCCGTCATCGGAAGCGCTCTTCGCGGAGTTGAAGTTGGAGGTGGACGTAGCATGGCCGACCATCTCCAAGTAAACGAATCCAGCCATCGTGGACCCTCATTATCATTATTAACACCCCCCCCCCCTCCGACTCACCACCCGAACCAGACGCAATCATCGTACAAATCACCATAACCCCTCCAACACCAACCTCGTCACCACCTCCATCTCCATCTTCATCCTCGTCCTCATCCTCATCCTCATCCTCCGACTCCGACGCACCAAGAATAATATCAACACCAACACGCCGCCACGTCAAAGTCCAACGTAAATGGACCTGCTGCAAATGCGGCAGCCGCAGAAGATACCGCTTCACCTGCACCAACCGCTGCCTCCACTGCGGCCGCGTTCACTCCAACAAGATTGAGGAACCTCCAAAGACGGGGCCGTTATACATCTCTCGCCTGTTCATGAGAGATAAGGCTTTGCTCAGCCTGGATGATGAAAATGCAGAGTACGTCTACTTCATGGCGGAACACTTGAAGTGGAGAAATCGCGGTGGCCCACGGGCGAGGGCGAGGGATTCGATGATGAGGTCGCCGCCGTGGCTCATGGTGTGGCCTCCTGTTTGCGAGTATGCTGGACCTGGACAGATGGGAATGCAACCAAGGCGAGAGAAGACAGTCAAGCGCGTACGCTTCAGCGTTCCCCGTTAATACATTCAGGCCATTGTACATATATGCTGGCTCACGAATACAACATGGATAGATTTCCAGGGACATCCTACAATCAAGTAGAAGGGCGCTGCATCAGTAGACGAAACCCAAATACGTACCCCCATTACAGTTTTATTCATCTACCTAAGCCCATCAGCTAGTGCCTTATCCGCGCGTGCCTTCTTGGGAACCGAAACAGGAACCTCGAAATGTTGTACATTGTGAGTGAGTGCCAGACTCGAGGCGAATCTGCGTGGGTTTCTGAGTGCAGGTACCCGAGTTGAGTACCCTGCAATCGTCAAGATCAAGGTGCTGATGGCTCATGCACCATCTTTTTCCAGCACCGTGCCCGTGAACGTCCAAGACGGAATTGCGTGCAACTCTGAACCGTTGCATGCCTCTTCCTTCCTATGTTTCCAGATGTTGTGAAAAGATTATTCCACCTCTGGCACACCTGCATCATCGTCGTTTCTGACCAGTGTTGTAAGGAAAGCAGAAAAAAGCATCCCTTGAGACCGAACCACTCCCAAATAACCGTCCTGAGAAAACAGCCAACCGGGAATATCAACGTCGTTGTTGATGTGCAAGACGCGGAATTTATGCCTCGAGCGCCTTGGCCTTCTTCTTCTGCTCGACCTTGAGGAGGAGCGCGCGGTTGATGTGTGGCAGAACACCACCAAACGCGATGGTGGCACGAATCAGGGTGTCCAGTTCCTCGTCACCACGAATGGCAAGCTGGAGATGGCGGGGAGTGATACGCTTGACCTTGAGGTCCTTGGCGGCGTTCTACAGGGCGCGCGTCAGCAAAAGATTTAGGCAGAGACCCCGATGAGTCAACGGAGTGCGCCGGAAGGGGTGGGAAACTTACGCCTGCAAGCTCGAGGACTTCAGCAGTAAGATACTCGAGGACGGCGGTGACATAGACGGCAGCCTTGGCACCGACGCGCATCTTGTTCTGGGTGTTGGCCTTGAGGAAACGCTTGACACGACCGCAGGGGAACTGGAAAGTCCGTGTTAGCAATGCTGCGACCGCTGGTCGAGAAATTTTTATTGCTGCGTGCGTTCCGGGCCTTGCGCCATCATTTTCGAGCCCAACGACGTCGTGCACGCGACTGCATCCCGTCCATCATCCAGTGCTGTCTTAGCAGCGTGAAAGTGATCGCGCAAGTTCCCCATTGCAAGCGGAAGATGCTGCGCGACACTAGATGATGGTTTGAGGACGATTCTAACTTGTATTGCGGTCGAACGCGTCGAAATCGGGTGGTAGTCGGTCGATGATCGATATCGGGGCCCAAAAATCGACGTGCAAAACCGGCGCATCATCAGCAGAGCGCAACTTACCTGGAGACCAGCGCGAGCGGAGTGGCTCTGCTGCTTCTTGGGGACTTCGGCCGTAGCCTTGCCTCCGGACGTCTTTCCGCCAGACTTTCCCTTGCCGCCGGCCATTGTTGATGTTGATGCGAGGGCGCGAAAAAAAAGTTTAGATAAATTCGAAGTCGAGTTTTGGATCCGATGATTCGATCAAAGTGGGGATGCGCGTGTCGAGTAAAAGGTTCAGAAAAAAGGACTGTTATCGAAGAAGACTGTTTCGGTGTTGGGTTGGAGTTGGAGGGGTTGTCGAGGGAAGCTTTGGTGGAGGTGGATGGAGATGGCAGAAATTTAGTTCGAAGGCTGACTGACAGTGATTGTTGTTGTTCGTCGGTGACGGCAGGAGAAGAGGACAGGGGGGCGAATGGGAGCGAGGGAGCTTCGGTGCGAGCAAGAAAATCGCGGTCGGTGTGGTGTGGGAGGTGCGAGAGGGGGGGGGGGGGGGGGCGGCCGTCGATGGGTGCTGGTGGTGCTGCTTGTCTCTGCGGTGCTTTTCGTTTCTGAGCAAGTCCACGGCGCGGCCTGTGTCTGCTTCTGCTTCTGCCTCTGCTTCTGCTGCTTCCCAAAGGTAAGGAAGGTATGACCACCTTGCACACCTCTGCTGCTCCTGCACCTCTGTGCTGCCTCCTTGCTCAGAGTTTTGCTGGTGAGCTGTCGGCTGTTCCTATTCGTCGGTTGGAGCTCTGTTGTGGATGGCTGTGTTATGGCGCTAGCGTCCGGTGCCCAGAAATTGTTGACAAAATGTTATTGCCGGAATGTTGCGAATTTGGACGCGGCTGCCGAAGTTTACCCGAGCCGCATCGAAGGAGCCGGGAACCTTGAGGTGCTTGGCCCGGGCGGGCTGTGAGTGAGTCTGATGAGCGAGGCAAGAGAGCCTGCCGCCCAGGACGTAAATACATGGCACTCGCCATGTTACATTGCTCAGAATGCCAGAAATGAGGCAAGAAGAAGGAGAAACACCTGCTCAACTCGAGCAAATCACCTGGAATCCAGGAGACGCCGTGGCGGCAAAGAAACACATACCTTGAGCCAACCTCCAAGTGAGGCTCTGCGACGGATGCCAGCAGCAGGCTTCAGCCAAGCTCGCTGCACTGCAGCAGGATAGCGAAGCAAAGTTCAGAGAACAATGGGAAGTAGCCTGTAGGTCAAACTGAGCCTAAATGCAGCCTGTCTTGGGCCGTGGAGGTGAGTCTTGTCATCTTGACATGATCGTTGCTGATGTTGGCCTTTGATGTCGACGCAAAACGCAGACCAAGAAACCGTCCCGCACGAGGCTAGTGACAGCCTGTGGCGTTGTAGACCACGTGACGTGGCTGGTGCTTCATCTAGTCTGGAGTCTCACGTGTGACGGTTGACCTTTCGAGCTGAAGCTCAGGCCCCGCCTGGATTCGATCGGATGACCGGCCCCATAAAATACCGGGAAGAGCTCGGGTCTCATCCGGGATCTGCTCCACTATGGCAACAAGTCTCTCGAGCTCTCAGTCTGCAGCCGGCGCCAGGTGCGAAGGTGCCAGCGTCTCAACCATATCAGTCTATTGTCGTTCTGTTTCTTAGCACACTTTGCACCTTAGGGTTATTACGCCTATCACTCGATTGTGGCAGGTGATGTGAGAGATCACCGACTAAATGGAACACTAGATGTAGTTCATATCACAAAAACTAGTTGTTCGCTATCTCCGGTCCTGCCTCTTCGTACTCTGCCCTTGTAACACACATCCCTTCAAACGTGGAAAATTCGCTCAACATGGAGCCCCCAACCCAAGCGGAATACGCTCTATTCCGAGGAGAGATGACGTTGATTTTAGTCCCCTCTTTAAATAGACCCTTCAGCTCACGCTCCAACCTGGCGCCGAATCCAGGAAACATGGTGTTCCCGCCAGCCTTCAATACCGTAGTCAATAACACGGCGACTCATATGGTATAGAGGAAGAGAGAAGAGAACTCACGAGCAGGACGTTCTGGCAAAATTCCTCCCGTATATCTCGGTTGCAGTTCATGATTATATTAAAAGCATCATACTGTAGCCCACCAAAATCAAGCCCCAGCATAGAAAGCTTGAACGACACCCCCCCTCCCACCCCCCCCCCCCCGCTCGCAGACCAAGCGGGGTGTTAGGCTTCATCTTCAACCCGTCAGGCAACTCCCCTACTTCGTCTTGCCGTCCGTCATACATGCTCTTCTTCCACCGCATGGACTCCTCCTCAAAGTTCATCGCGACGCGGCATCGCTCAGTCTTGGCCAACCAGAGAGCAATGTCCCAGGCCTCATTTGACGGAAGCTCGACACCGACTTCATTCATGAGAGCTTGCTGCAACCAGTCATCTATTGCCTGTCCCGAGACATCGTGCATACGGGAAGGGTGCACGAGAGGCGCGTGGTCGTGAACTGGTTATGTCCAGGTCACTGCGTAACCCGAGTCGACGACGAGAGCGGTGGGTAGGTTGGCCGCGTACGTTGACAACACGGCCGGGACGGTCGTGTAGAAAGCCGGCGCAGGGAAGTACTCGAATACCTCGGACATCATGGCCGTCTTAGTTCGCGGGTCATCAGTCTGCTGGGGGTCTAAGAGAGACTTTTGGAAAGGCGATTTACCGTTGGGTACGAGGGACGTAGAGTGGCTCTGTCATGACGATCGGATGGCAGGAGAGCGGTATGGAGGCCCCAAGCTCTGCGAGCACGTAATTCCGGATTCTAGCCGCATCCTGCCAGTCAGTCACCACGCCGCATGCTCTAATCAGGTACAGAGGGCGGCTGAGGCCTTCATAATCCGGGTTGACGGCGTGGCCAACGTTATAAGTGCTCTGATACATAGTTAACAAGACTTGCACTTGGAAGAACTTGGACGGTTTCTGGAGATTTCATGCTGACTTACCGTCCAAAGATCAGTGTCCCTATTCTCGTTTGTCCTAGTGGGATACTGGATGGTCGTTGCTGAATTCAAGTCAGACGGCTAAGAATCGGTAAAGCTGGGAGTTTTGTCTATAGTCACGGAATACTCTGAGAGGCTGCCGGTCGCCGCCGAAGCCAGCCTTGGTGAAGGCGGACCTGGAAAACGATTAAGGCCAAATTCGCTTTACATCACGGTTACATCCATCAGGCAGTACTTACCCGCAATCAATGACAATAGCTCGCGTTGACATGTTTGTACTGTGCGATAGCGTAGATTGAACGCCGAATATCTCACCTCATGAGATACTCAGGGCGAGCTTTTGAAGGGAGCTCGGCTACGACAATGGGGCGCTCAGGCATCTACCGATTGGGCTTTACACAATTGCTTTTCAAGGCTGAGTATGCTTGTGCCGACGTGCATATGCAGGCAGCACTCACTCAGGTAAGGTAAGGTAAGCAAGCATGCATGTTTGGCAATGCCGCTTTATTGTTCGTTTACCTGCGACTTCTCCATGGAGTGGTTGGAAACCTGACGGCCCACATTGCGGCAGCTCATTTGCTTGGATCGGCTGAAGTATGGAGTATGAAGTATAGAGATGGGTTCGTTCATTGTACTGGTACTGCTTAGACCCTCGGCCGCCTCTTCTCTCTTCTCTTGAACCCTTTGGATATCTTTCTGGTTCAAATAAGTATCAAAACTGATTGTCATGGTCATTACCAGGGCCATGTCGTACTGTGAGACCCAACAGGCTTCTGGGCAGGTGTCGCCTGCAATCATGCGCTCTGCACGCCGTGGTATTCGCCGTGGCAATCTGCCAAAAAGACCATGTGATCCCAATTCCACGCCACCTCAGTCGCATCAATTACGCTTGCAATTCATAAACAGTTTCGCTTTCACAGATCCCCTCTCATTACCAAACTCCGGGTTTGCGGTCGTTGTTTGACGCCTTTGCGTCATATGTCATCTTCGTTTCTGAGTTCGTTTAATACATCATCGTCATAATTTGCTGCTGCTGTTGTCGCTGCCGCTGTGCGTTCCTCTCGGCAAGGATTCTCTTGACCCGTCGTCGACCGGTGTTGATGAAGTGGTATTGCGGCGGATACTCCTGCTCGACGGCTTGAGGGTATGTCCAGTACACGAGCCCGGCGAGAATCATGTTAAAGAACCGGGCTGCGGGCGTGAGTCGGGGCTTCTTGCGCGCAAAGTGTCGCCATTCGAGTGTGAGAACAATGTTGCCCAGAACGTTGAGTAGACGGAAGAACCTTTGCACCTGTTAGCTCGCCAACAGTGATGATGTAGCGATCCAGACTCACATGTTCAACACGATAAAGACCAGTGTGACTGTGACCCGTCTATCAAACAGTCCAGCTATGCCGTCTTCGACGTCCTTGACGAGTACGTAAATCGGTAGACACCAGAGACCCAGTATCGCTGTCTCGAGGATCAACGAAAAATGATATGTGCGCTTGTGTTCGCCTCGAACAACGAGGAGAGCCAGACACCACCACAAGAGGACGAACGCGACCTAATCACATTAGAAAACCAGCTCTTGAAAAAGGCGAAACAGATTCCATAAACTTACAATAGACGGCACCAAGACAAGAATCTCATCTCTGAAGTACCTCCAGCAAAGCGCACCAGCAACGATACCGAGACACAGCTGAATCCAGCCGAGGACGAAATACACCAGCAGGACGTTGTTGTAGTGATTATAGCAGCCTTTGTGAAACTCAGGCTGATTAGGCGCCGAGGCACTGGCGACCGGATACCCGCACCAGCGACAGATCCATACACTTGCGTAGTTACCCAGCGCAACCTTCTTGCCCACCGCCAGCTCGTTCTTTTGATAGGCACAGTCGACGCATTTACTGGCGAGAGGGTACCGCGGGTGGTTGTAGTCTGCCCAGAGCAAGCTGCCGCGCGTGGGATCGTACTTGAGGCAGATGTAGCAGTGCGCCAGCAAGGCAAGGCGGAACTGCTCTCCAAAGAGGTCGCGAATAGTCTCCTTTGTGAGAAAGTTACGGTAGAAGCGGCATGTGCGGCGCAGATTCTCAAGCTCGCCGAACTCGAGGTAGTCGATGATCATGAGATGCAGCTCGGGCGGAAGATCCATGAGACTATTGCCCGTCTTAGGGCCTAGGATTCGGGAGCGTCGCCGGGGGTCGAGCGAGGCGACCTTTTCAATGACTGAGTCCCGGCGTGAGCGGGATGTGCGAGGCCGGGCGCTTCGGGCGCTGGTAGGTCGTATCGAGCCGCCATCTTTGCAGGACAGTTGCTGCTCAAGTTCGAGTGGTAGAGGTGACTCGAGGGGTGAGGGCAGATACTGAGCTGGTGAAGCTGCGGCTGAGAGGTTGAGAGGTTGGGGCGCTGGTGAGTTGGGGTGGACCTGAGGCGCGAAGGATATGGCTGACGGGGTAAATGAGGGGGAGACTAAAGGTGCGACGGGTGAGTGAAGGATGGCCGGCGGGGGCGACAACGGCGATACGGGTTGAGACTGCGGGCCCGGGACGGTGAGAGTTTGAGTGGTGATATTGTTCGTAAGGGTCTGGGCATTCGAGGTGGATGAAGACTCAGCGGGGTGACCGCCGGTGAGAGCCTGGAGGGTTGCGTCATCCTGAGTGGGGGGTTGGGCTGATGGGCCTAGCGTCAAGGTTGGAAGCGTATGAGGGTGATGTTCATGAGCTGAGTGAGGAGGCGGCGGTGAGGCCGGCTCCGGTAAATTCAGAGTCGGTGTAAAGGGCGAAGGCGGCAGTGGTGATGTGAGCGGCAGGGCCGTGTAGTGAGATTGTGAGGCCGTGTGAGCCGGAAGTTGGGCTTCAAGATCGGGTTCAGGGGTCGGTGCGGGAGCGTGAGCGGGTACGGGAGTGTCCTCGGCGCTGGTGGACGAAGCGGTTAAGGATGGGGCCGTTGAAGCCGCGGATGACTGAGATGGTTGCTGATCATCTTGGGAACCCTGAACCTTTTTGCGGACGCCGCGGGCAGCGCGGGAGATGCCCCTCCCGAATGAGCTGACAGCATCATCCATAGTGAGCCCAGCGCGGGAGATGGTCGAACGAGGTTATCGGTGGTCTTTTAGTGCACCGTCGACGGGATATGTGCCCACGACAGCGAGGAGAGAGAGAGAGAGAGAGAGATCTGGCGGGTCGGCTGGGCGACCGGGGATCCCCTCGTCACGGAGGGTTGAAACTGCTTGGAACCCGGGGTGCTACAGAGAGGCCGATGTGAAACGGGTCTGGAAGCCGCGCCGGGAATCCTGGGCGAATATTGGGGGCGATGCCGAGGGACTGGGCGACCTTGGGTGACAAGAGTGTAAAGTGAGTGTGAGTGTGAGCGTCAGCGGGCGGTGTGGTTGAATAAGAGCGGGGAGGTAAGTGAGTGAGAGCGTTCGAGTGAGATGTTGGTTCAGGTAAGTCTTAGCCAACGTCTGCGATAGTAGCCTCGGTGGCCGTGAACCGGTAGGACATTGTTTTGATTCGGGATGGGAGGGAGAGGGGAAAGTTGCAAAATAAGAGAAGGGAGAGGGAGGAAGAGACGGGTGCGAGTGGAGGAGGTCGAGGTGGTGATGAGTGATTGATGATCGATCTGTGATGTGGTAGTCTGCCCGCCGTGGGTTTGTTTCTTTTCTTCTTCGTTTGTTGTGTCCCTCGTGACCCTTGTGACCAACGGACCTGATTCGATCTGGTCTGATGCAGGGTTGCTTTCTAGACTCCTTGAATCCTTGAATCTGGGGTTCCGTTCGAGTTGGGATGCAGCAGGCCAGGCGCAAAGTTTACCAAGGCGTGCCAGGCAGAGAAAGGCGGAGAGTGGACGACAGGAGTCAGAGTCAGTCGGTTTCTGCGCGCAAGACTACAACTCAGTCTCACCTTTTTAGAGCGAGCTGCAACGAACGGGCTGGAATGGGCGACCGCCACGCGGCGATCGCAAGGGGGGGGCGGTGGTTGGGTTGTCCGGTGCTTGTGCATGTGCTTTTGCAGACTGCCCGCAGGCGGGTGCGCCAAACCGGCTTGGACGCGGTGGGAATAGTGCGCCCTGGGACGAAAGAGAGGGGAAAAGAGAAGACGCCGGCCCCTCGACTTTTGACTTGATGGGTACACAAAGGTGGTGCTGTCGTCGGGCTACCAACAAAGTACCTCGGTTGTCGAGTATCCCCCGGGAGTTGGCGGTGGGGTTCCGGTCTGTGAGCACCCGTCGAGTGTGCGTTCGGGCGTCAATAATCAGCTGTGGTAAGGGCGTTTGTTGGCCAAGCCAAGGGATATATCGTAGTTCGTCTCTCTATGGTGGGAATAGCAACAAGTATGAGTAGTAAGGTGGACAAGAGAGAAGAAGTAAGAGGAAAGTTGGCGGCCGAGAATGCTTGGAAACAGGGAAACCAGCCAAGTGAAGAAAATATAAATCCCGAGACCTTGTCTTGATGGGTGCTGTTCGTCCGCAAGCCACGTAGGACTCTCCTTGTATTAAACCCATCCGTGCTGGCTACCTACGGTCCACGGATAGATGATGGATGACTTTTCCACGTACGAAGACAATAAGGAGGCAAGGCCAAGCCAGGAGGCCTGCCTGCCCGGCACACCATTCTCGGCCGCTCAGATCAGCCTCAAGCTTCGTCAAAACGTGGCCAAGAAGTCCCCATATCCATCTTTAGCAACGCCCCGGGCTTGATGGTGTGTTGGGCTTTGCCAAAGGTGTGTCGCATGTTTCGAATCCTAGGGGTTTCCGCGCCGCCCTAGCTTCCTAGCATACAGTAGCTCTGAGCAGGGCACGCATGCTTACCAGTATGATCTCTAGCATAGCACGCATAGGTTGCTTCCAGGATGCTTCTTCCTAGCTCCCGTGCGACTTTGAGAGTGCTGGACCGCCAGCTGTGTCGGGCACGACCAGCGATTCCCCTCAGTCTAATTTACTTCTCAACTTTTAGATTCTGTCCAGTGGAACGTTATTATTGCTTCCTTTCATGATGAGGGTTGTGACGCTGTTGGATCGACGGTGCTAGTTCATGACGAGGAGAAGCATGGACGCACTTTATCAGTCACCTCGTCAAGACGTCAACTGACAACAGCACGGATTCGCACACATATGATACTCAGGGAAGCTCCTAGTCGTTTTGATTCAAATTCTCCGTGCTTGACAAGCCGGTCTCAAGCGACAGGCGACACGGCATGCCTCCGCTGTCCAGTGTCCAACCGGCAACCGACATTCGTCTCTCCGGAACTGATCCGTACAGTCGCTTCAACCCTGTAAAGCCCACAACACCTTCGCTGGCTTGTTTCTTATGTGGACAATGCCTAGACCTTTTCCACAGCCTTACGGACCTCCACCTGCTCAAACGTAGCATCGCCGTCCATTCCCGCCTCCTTGGAAACTTTGGCATCCTTGCCGTCGAACAGGACGGCGATTTCCTCGAGAGTAGGCCCCTTGGTCTCCACAAAGAGAAACCAGATGCAAACAACTTCAATGACCAAGAGGACGATGTAGACGAAGTAGAACTTCCAAGCCAGCGATGAGAGCCCGATAGGATTGACGTATTGGTTCAAGACACCAGAGAGCGCCGTCACTCCTAGGCAGATCGCCAGTCCCTTGGCTCGTATGCTGAAGGGGAGAATCTCGGAGCAGTAGGCGACCGTCAAGCCAGGCCACGCGAAACCAGCGACTCTGTAGAAGAGGGAAATCATCGCCAGAACTGCAGACCCGACGTCTTTGTTGCCTGTTTGGGCATGCACTGCAGAGCAGCTGAGAAGGTCAGTACAACTAAGGTAACTGCTGGGACATTGCGGGGTTCATACCCAGTCCAAACACTGAAGACAACGAGCATCCCGACAGCAGCGATGAGAAATGGAACTCTGCGGCCGAGCTTCTCGATGAAATAGACTGAGAAGCAGATTGCAACGAGAAACGACCAGATCTGTAGACCGCCATTGAACAGGGACTGGGAGTTGGGCTCGTCGATGCCAACGGAACTCAGAATGTCGTGAAGATAGTACGAGACTAAGCCGTTTCCTAGCAGAGTCACTTGTCAGTCAAGCCGGGATTCTTCTGGAGGTAAACACATACCTGAACATTGAGAGAAGAACGACGTAAGCACAATGAGCATCAGTCTCTTGCGGTTTCCCGGTGTCTGGAAAAATACCATCCACCCCGTCTCCGCCGCGAGCTTCTCAAGCTTGATGGTCTCTTGGATCTCGGCGAACTCAGCCCGGACGAATGGGTCATCGCGGTTTCCACTGGCGTGATACTGCCCGAAATTGGAAGTCAGTCATCAAGGTACACCAGTGCATCTAACCTGCACCCCCCTTACCTTGACCAAGATCTCAAAGGCCTCGCCAGATTGGTCCTTTGAGCACAACCAACGCGGACTCTCAGGGAACGTGAATATGCCAATCAGTTGGAGCACCGGCATGAGGCATTGTAGAGCAACGGGAACCCGCCACGACACTTGACCGGTGTACTTGATCGTTCAGTAAACGGTCCAGGCGGCGATGATGCTTCCGACATACCAAAGGCTATTGTACATCACGGTGAGTCTGCCTCGGTGCTGGGGATAAGCGAGTTCCATGATCAGCAGCGGACCGGCCCCGATGGAGATGTTGGATCTGAGATGGCCGGTGGTCAGTAGTCATACCGGTAAGTCGAGGCAATGAATACCTGCCTGCCCGAATCCCACGAGGAAACGACCTCCGATAAACATCCCTTCGTTAACACTCGGAACGGCTAGTCGATGTTAGATTTGCTCATGTCTACGCAGAAGCGCAAGCAACCATAGTGCCTACATTGGATGATGGCGCCGACGACAAGAATAACGATGCCAATAGCAGTTGCGATACGACGGCCGTAGTAATCTGCAATGTACGGAGCTGTCACCAATGGAATATCAGCATATAGAACTCTCTCTACGAATTGCATTCCCCAACTGACAGAAGAACAGTGCACTGAAGCCACCAATATTCACAATGGCAGTGAATAGGCCAAGAGTAGAGCCGGAAGGATGGTTAAAGTCTGGAAATCCGAGAGTCAGCAGACCTTTCACCGAAACAGTGCGGTGTGTCACTTACAAGCTCGCCAGTTCTCGATGGTCTGGAGACCATTCAAGAGACTCCCATCATATCCATTGATGGTGGCGCAAAGCATCAGTATTGGCATCCTGATGTAGAGACTCCGCAACCTGGCGTGCCTATACCATGTTACCCGTGGAACTTTGAGGTGTGGAGGTTCCTCGAGATGATCCGGGTGCTCTTTGGTTGAAGTCATTTTACTCCTGAAGGTACTCCGTACAGAGATTGGCAAAACTTGTTGACAGGTCCCCGAGGTCTTGACGGCAGATTGCTGTGGTCCAGGGCCGCTGAGTTGAACGATGATGGGTTACAGGGAACTGAAAGCTCATGAGATCTACGGAAGCCTTTTAAATAAGACAAGTCAACACAATATGGATATGGCCGTCGATAAAGGGTCTACAATTACACACTGGCATCTCCATAAGAAGTTAGACATGATCACCATTTACCGTATCCCTGGGAGGGGACCCCAGGTTCGTGGGGTGATTCGGGAACAAGAGACTGGGGTAAGTCGACCAAGCACATGTCTGTCACTCGTTGCGACCTGGTTCGCGGCTTCGGGACCAATCATCTTGACGTTTTTCCGACATCCATGAGACTGGAATCATCACTCTGCTGGGGTTGCGGGATGAGCGCGCGCATGAGCTGGGTGGTGCGTTCCCCAACCTCTGTGGCGAGGGTAACGACATCCGGTCTAACCAGGAGCTGGGTCCGGTACGCTGTCAGCGCTTCTTTCGAGAAGAAGGCGGCACTCAAGACGATAAAATCAGTCCATCGGAAAGTGAGAAACTTGATTGGTCTTTTCCCCGACACCTCTGAAAGTCTATCCGCCACATAAGTACGGAGGGCCTTACCAACCCGCATATAGCATGACTTTCTGCGTGGCTTTCGAAGGCGCCATTAGATCAGAATTCCATTTATGTAGGTATATTTTCACACAATGAGGCAACTACGAGACTCATGGTACGATAGGATTTTCCAGGCGTAGGGCATTTGCTCTATCGTGTCATTTCGTGTCGTACCAATCCTCTTCCCCGTTCGTGACGAGGTCTCTCACATAACTGCATGCGGGTTTCTACAAGGAGATGGTACGTCGCATTACCAAGCTACAGAACTATTGATAGCAACTAAAGTAGGTAGTCGAACTCATGAAGTTGTAGACTATAGGCGTCGGAGCTGTCTGTCTGAAACGAGGTATATCTTCCTTGTTGCGTGAGGGCCTCAGTTCGAGCCGAAAAACTATTAATATCGTAGTCCATACCCGATCTCACGTGTTGGATGTCTTTTTCTTCCAGAGGCAGTGAGTATTTGGTCAGAAATCGTACCATCCAGTCATCGAAATCATGCGTTCTGGAGTCGCCGGACAGCAGGCAGAAGTTTTGAAAGGTAGCAAGACGTTCGATCTATCCTCATATCAGTTTGCGTGAGCATGTGAGTGAGCCACACTGGACTGGCACAAACCATTGGCGCTGTGTTTGGCCAGTACTGTCGCAGTTCGACAATGGCTGCGAAGTTCTCATTCAGGGCATCTCTTGCGCTCTTGGGGTCTGCCTCCTCGCCGAATAAGAGAGTATGGAGGAGCACGGATGACGAGACTACCGCCATGTGCCCGACCGTAGGATAGACGACTTCACATCCCTGCTTACGACGGGCGAGTTTGACAAGATTGCTGTACGCTGAGGCATGGGACTTGCACCTACTATGATACAAGCTAGCGGCGGGCGACCTTGGCTTTTGAGAGCTGAGGAACCGGAAGTAGAGCAAGACGAAGTAGTGATGATACCCAAGATGAAGGGCCACATATGGACCTCCAGTCCCTCTGCCAATATGCCAGTCTAGTATTTCCTCTTTCCATTTGATGTTTTCGGGCAGGGACGTTTCCCAAGTTTCCAGCTGCCGAGACAGAGAGAGAATGCTGCTCTCAATGCTCACCGCAGACATACTGCCGTTGACGCTGTGTCGATTGAGCTGTTGTATTGGACCAAATAGCTGTACCAGAGAGATCTTGAACGCCCATATTCCCGGATGCCATGGCTTCTCTAATTGCGTTGCTTTTGGATCTAGGGACTCGAATATAGCTTCGTCCATGGGCAGATCAACAGCAAGCTCTGTATCTCGAATCTGTGGCAACAGGCCGAGGCTGGAAGACGACCATCGGTCGGTCATGAATAGCGACCACCATATCCTCCTGTGAATCTCAAGATCGACCAGCTGTGTCCCGACTGTGGAGGTGCCGAGCTGCATAATGTGAGAGAGGCTGATGCCGGTGCCTTGTCAATTGTGAGTAAATGAATTCTAGAGGAAAACTTACACCTGCCAATCCATACGACGGTGACTACTTACGGAAGAATAAAGCTTCTGAAGAAGGGTTCAAATGAGCTGCGCAGAGGTTCGCCATGAGGACACACGCCTGAATGTTTTCGACGCATACATTCTCCAAATTCGCCAGCAGCAGCCGTTTAGATTCCTCCATCAACCCAGCCTCGAGGGCCCGGGTCTCATCATCGAGGGCAAACCGTGAGCCCATGCTGCATATAGCCAAGAGGAGAATCCTGCTAATAGACCCATCGTGAACCTCCTGCCGAAGTTTTGCTGGGTGGAACAGGCTATGCGGTCGACTGTGTAGCTTGTCTAGATAGAAGTCGACGAGAAGTTTGGCCGTTTGAAGTGGCAAGTCTATGCCTTCGGTCCTTGACGAAGTAGGCGTGGGGTTGTTTGACAACGAAGGTGTCGGCTCAGGTCTTGGGAGCAGTGGCAGCGGCGATGGAGGAACGCGTGAGAGAGAACTTGCACACGGTAGGCTTCTAGCTCGGCAAGTATCGCAGGGCTCGCCTACCGCGAGGGTACGACGGAGGCATTTCCGTTTGCTCTCCCGGCATTGTCGACATGCTTTGGGGGGCTTCATCCGATCGCCAGATCAGACAACGTGCGGGCGATACCATTCACAAGCTCCATGGTGAATGACATTGTTGGAGACAGGAACATGCCCTCTATTTAGTTTCTCGGAAATGGACATCTTTCACTGGGCGGTGACCCGAAAACCCCACAAACCAACATGTGGAGGACGCTGTTATGCATGAGTCGACGCCACTAAGGGGAAGCAAGACAGGCATGGCGCGAGTCTTTACTCTACCGGCATATCCCCTCATTCCTCGTATGTTTCGCAGATCCGGGAAGCTAACAACGAATCATCGGGTTATGAGCCAATCATCTTTCACAAACTCCGAAGAGCGTTCAACACTGCAGATCCATCCTCCTTCTCTTGACTTGGTGTGCTGTCACCTCAAATCCTGAAATAGTAAACATGAACATGCTTGATATCTGCTCTCAGTTTCCTATTTCTTGTCTAATTCCTTTACTGCGTCGCTTGCCTCTAGTCAGAATCCAGAGATTCGCCGAAGAAGACTGAACAAACACCACGATACAATGATATTCCTCGACGCAACCCCTCAAGTCATCGCGAAGATGGCTGACCTTAGTGTCAACATCCCTCACCTCGTCCAGACGGATGGATCGAAACAACTCGTTGTGAAGGGAGAACCTTTTCTCATGAGAGTCGGTGAACTTCAAAATTCCTCATTATCGTCCCCTGAGTACATGGAAACCGTTTGGAAGGAAATGGCCGATACGAATATCAACACCTTGCTCGGTAGCGTATCCTGGGAGATGATCGAGCCCGAAGAGGACAAGTTCGACTTCTCGGTGCTCGACGAAATCATTAACTCGACACGGAAGCATTCCATGCACCTAGTTTTGCTTTGGTTTGGGTCATTCAAGAACGGTACGCTGCCCTATTTCTCCCCTGTCCTCGAGTGACAGACTGAAAGAAAATTGAGACTTACAAGCACAGGACTGTCGACATATACACCGACTTGGGTAAAGACAGATGACAAGAGATTCCCGCGAGTAAAGCTTCGCAAGGCAGGAGATCGTCTCGAAACAGGCGACGTTCTGTCAAGTTTCAGTGCCGAGAGCCGCAAAGCAGACGCCAAGGCCTTTGGCGGACTAATGGAACACTTGAGAGAGGTGGACGAGTCACACTCCACTGTTCTAATGGTACAAGTCGAGAACGAGTGCGGTGTGCTGGGAGATTCTCGCGACGGCTCAGAGCTCGCAAATAAAGCCTTTCATGAATCGGTCCCAAGGGACCTCGTTCACCTCCTGTCCGCGGAGTGGGATCAGCTACACCAAGATATGCGAGAACAGAACCTCACGCGATTTGATCACCAAAGTCCACACCTCGATGGAAACGGCGATTGGGAATCTGTGTTTGGGAGCAGCCCCCGGACTGATGAGTTATTCATGGCGTACAATTACGCCCTTTACCTGAACGAAGTTGCCGCGGCCGGGAAGGCGGCTTATCCCATCCCACTTTACACCAACGTATGGATGAAATACGTCGGCGAAGACTCGGACAATGACTTTCCCGTTGTGGTGGGCGGCGGCGGCATGCCGGGGGACTATCCCTCCGGAGGCCCCGTGAGCAATGTCTTGGACGTATGGATGCGCTTCGCGCCGAAGCTGGACTTCATCGGGCCGGATGTCTATCTCAATGACTACGCCAGCTCTTGCGCCAAGTACAGGCATCGAAACCAGCCTCTGTTCATTCCGGAGCAACGACGAGATGACTACGGTGCGCGTCGTATCTGGATTGCGTACGCACTTACGACGCTATGGGGGTTGCTCCTTTCGGTGTAGATACCATCGCGCCGGAGGATAGCCCTTTCACCAAGCATTATGGTCTGCTGAAAACCGTTTCGCCCATCGTTCTTGAAGCACAAAGAGACCCAAACACATCGGTGGGCTTCTGCTTCGATGAGGTTCCGGCAGATAGCGCCGGAAAAGACCCGAGCCCCGTCATCCGTCGCACCTGGGGAGACTTTGAGATCGCCATAGAGCGGTGCTTCGTGTTCGGCAAGCCAGGAACAGGGGCTGGAATGGTGATCCATCGTGGTGGAGGCAAGTTCCTGCTCATCGGCTGGGGTTTTCAGGTCAGAGCAAAGGCATTGGGTCAGGGCACTAACTTCACCGGTATTCTGACGTTTGAGGAGAAGATTGTTGAAGACGAAGGGGCCGGCCGCCTGAAAACAAGTCGTGTGTTGAACGGGGATGAGACGAGGAGCGGCAAGTTCGCAATGATGCCTAATGAGGACCCAGATTACGGTGGCTTTCCCATCTCCGTCACCATCCCGGCCAGGACGATGATTGCAGAGGTTACTTTTTACTCTTTGTCTAACTAGATCTTGGTGAATTCATGGCACTGGATTGAAGCCTATAGTGAGTAGACTTCAGCAAGATTATTGGGTGCTAGCATTTACCACGCAAGACAGACCCAACTCTTACGTACTTTGATATCACCATCGCAATGACAGCCGCGAGCATGAATCCACAAGCAAAGATCCAAGTCCCCTGAAACTCCCTCTGCACATCTGCCGCCGTGTCCCCTTGCGGACGCTGTGCAGCACCTCCAATAGGATTCCCGATCAATGCGCCAAAGCTTGCGATGGTGTATCCCATGCCCATCCTTGTCCCATACTCTGACAAGTCGTCTGTTAAATTCGCAATAGTAGCAGGGGGCAAAGACACCATACCGCCCGAGACGAACCCGTAGACAATCGATATCGCAATCAACCCCGGCAGGTCGGTCGCAAAGCGGAAGAGGAAGAGAACGACAGCCGAACAGAGGCAGCAGGGAAGCATAATTGTCATGCCACCGTACTTATCAGCGAGCCAGTTGGGAACTAGACGGCCGAGGAGACTTGCAGCGTTCATGGCGCTGAGGATGTAAAAAGACGTGTCTTGATCTACACCCAAACGGATGGCATAGGCATCCACGTAGAAAAAGGGAACGTAGACAGAGCCGATCATCAAGGCGAAGGCTGACTACTTGTTAGCGACTGCAGTGAGTCGAAGACCCAGTGGAAAGGAAACCGACCAATACAGAACGACACATAGGGGACATCGCGGAAGTGCTCCAGGCGAAAGAAAGCTCCACGCCGCTTGAGATTGGGTCGAAGACGCATGATTGCAATACATATCAGGAGACTTCCGGTGACGATGAATGCGAACACCCGAACAGCCCAAGGAAAGCCAATAGAGGCGATCAGACGTCTCTCCGTGATGGGATACACGATTCCCGCTTGACAATTCATCAGTACTAGTGCTTGCGTATATAAGAATCTCGGGTCCTGTTCACAACTCACCTAGACTGCTTCCCGTAGCAGCAATGCCAGTCGCAACCATCCTCCTCTTGCGGAAATAAAGAGGGATCACAGCAACACATGTCAACCCTAGCAACCCACTTCCTGTTCCGACGCAGAGCGCCTGCGCAAGGAGGATCTGCCAATACTTCGTGCACAAGCTCAGCATAAAGAGACCGAGGGACGTCATGGTAGTGCCACAAATGAGGATGAAGCGGAGATACCCCGCGTCGAGAAGCCAACCCGCGCAGACGCCGATGAGCATCATCAGAAAGATATGGATGGATCCGATCCAGGAAATAGTCGAAGGATTGACGTCTGGTAAAAGGTTGTTGGAGTAGTAGGCTTGGAAGACTCCGAATGAGTTTGACAATCCCCTTGACCAACGTCAGCTTGAATACTGCCGTACGAACACTGGCCCCCGAGCAAGTTCATCCCCCTCATGGTAGACTTGGATGCTTTCGACTTACCAGGTGTTGGCAAACAGAATCCAGCTTCCAAGAACTTGAAGCCATGCGACAAGTCCTTGATCCATTACTAGCTCTTCCTCATCAACTCGTGCTGCCTCCTCGTCACTTTTCGGTAACGAGGAAAGTTGAATCTTCTCCATATCGGATACCACCGTCGTCTGCGGGACAATCTTGGAGGCAAGCTTCTGAGTCTCAGTCCTCGCCATTTTGAGTCAATGGAGGGCAAGATAAAGTCGGCCTTGGGAGATCGTTTGTGTCAGGCCCATCCCAGTACACTCGTTACGACGATTGTCACACTATGCCTATGAAACAATATGGTCTTACACAAGCATGACTAAGTTTGCCAAGGATATGCCAGTATAAAGGGTCTTCCACTCACTATATAGATAGTCGGGATATTCCCATAGCCACTCGTTCTTCATACTCATCAATACATCCCATTGACCCCCTACCTGATAATCGCTGCCCAACAGTTTGATCAGATCTGGCGAACATCAAAATTTGGCGCTGAGCCGCTCTTAAAGCTTACTGAGCAATCTCAGTCGCCAATGTTGGCATTTTCAAGCCGAACGTCTGTGTCGCATTCCGTCAGATAAGTGTCGGCTTGCGAACCAGGGTCGCCATACAAGAGCACCACTTGGTGGATCAAACGGAAAACAATCAAAGGTAGGTTTTCATATTGCGCGAGCTACCCTTCTACACTTAGTTTAATCAATAAGGACGGGATCCCGAAATCAGTTGAAAGACCCTCACAGGCCCCCTGGAAGCGACCACGCCGGGGTTGTGTGTGGGCAGAGCCGAAGAGACGGAAGCAGGGTATGAAATCCCTCGACTACGAGTCTACGAGGGCTTCTTACCTTTGAGCCGAGACATCCTAATCATTGGGAACGAGTATGTTTTTCCCAGCCGAGCAATACAAACCTATTCGCTAACTAGCTATGGGTGCCCTGGCTTATATGCTTGTCCTTTGAGGGGCCTTCGGCTTGACTTGACCTTCGCTACATCGGCTTCGGCTCCGGCTTGACCGCAGCTTGAAGTGAGCTGCAACTACAACCAAAGAAAGGGCAGAGGATAACCATTGACTTGCATTCAAGCAAGAACCTTGGGACCTAGTGGTGGGCGCCAAAAAAAAAAAAAAAAAAAAAAAAGTTGTGTTGTGTGGCTTGCCACATGGTTTCGAGCATCATCGTCGATGGTTGGTCGATGTGAAGCCAAAAGCAAAGAACCCGGGGAGTGGCTTAGCCAATCGCGGTGAGGATTTGAGCCTCACGCGGGGGTCGAACCCGCAACCTTGAGATTAAGAGTCTCACGCTCTACCGATTGAGCTAGCAAGGCGGGTCTTGTTTCATGAATTCTTTGGGCCAGTTTGTGATTTACGTAGTCATCTTGCAGCCCGTGCGCGTGTTCCGTTTTGTAGGCCCTTGTTTTTCTCTTCCTTCTTCTTTCCTCTCCTCTCAGTCTCGTCGAAACAGCGCTCGCTTGTTATTCAAGTCGCCCATATTCTGCAATTTTCTTTTCTTTCATTTCTTGAGGATGTCTCTAATCACCTCGCTCAGTGATTCGCTCCCCCTCTGAAGCAAATGACCCTCTCGCATATCCCCGGCTACGATCCCTCCAGGCAGGAGACTCCTCGTCATCTCCACGAATAGTTGAGCCGTCGGTGGCTGATATAATTGTGCGAAGAAGTCCTCTAGCTGCTCATTTTCTACCAGCCTTAGCTCAACCTTGTCGTCATTGTCCTTGCGGTAACTGTACTTGTTGTAATTGTATGTTATGTCTTCCACCGCTCTGTGCACATCTTTCGTTGAGTAGGATTCCGGTCCGTGCAAATTGAAGATGTAGGGATTATGTCGCATAGGCGAGCCTGCCGCGAGGGCTTCCTTTGCGCATGTTCGACCAACATCTTTCACCGAGACCTTCATCACAGGTTTAGAGCGGTATATTTTTCATTGGGATTAAATTGTTTGGTAAAACTTACCATGGGTATTGCGTAGTCTATGGGACATAACACAGAAGAGAAATGTGGCGGATTATTATTCGCGTTCTCAAGTACTGCCGCCCAATTCTCCATGAAGTAGGCGCATCGAATAAAGACTACCTCGGGAGCCGCACCGATGAGGGCTTGTTCTGCCTCGTAATTCGTTCTTATCTCGCCCTACAAATATTCCCTTCAGCTATCTGACTGCCACAGAGAACCTCCTTTCTTAGCTTACCGTCCCATGCTCCAGATGAGCTCCTATGCTAGACACATATACCAAACGCTTCACCGAACACCCAACCCTGCTAATAGCAAACTTGACATTCGCTGCCATCTCACGTGCTCTCGTTATAGGCTTGGACTCGGAATACTGCGGAGGCGTGATAGATACGATGACATCGGCACCAGCAAATTTGAGACTCGAAACATCGGCAACATCGCCCTTGATCGCCCGAAATCGAGGATGATCCTTAAACCTAGCTGGTATCCTTCCTAAATCTCGATATACGCCCGTGACGTGTGGTTGTGAAGGATGATCAAGGAGGGATTGGATCGTCGCCTGCCCCGTCTTGGGAGACGCTGGAACGACAAAGACGTTCATCGTTGCTGGTGATGAGGAGAGAGCTTTAGCACGTCGAACGCGAGCCTACGTCGGTCATAACTAATTGACTTCTGCCGAATTCAAGTTCCGGGAGCTCTTGAATACTATATAAAGGCTCGCCATCGTATGACATCACACCACAACGGTCTAGACTTGGGTCCATCGGTCACCTGCATCCCGCCATCACGGTCCTCCCGATGCGTCAGTGGCTGTTATGTTTCACGCTCGAAAGCTTCTAGAGACACCCATGAGTTTGCCATGTCAGCTGGGCCTAGAACATGGAGTTTTCGGCCCTTCCAGACCACCCCGCCTCGCAAAATGTCCCGACGCTTGAGCCAGGCGATGTCGGGTTGGCTCTCCGCCTCCGCATCCGCATCTGCTACCTGTTTGACGGGCCATGCCAAAGGTCGTCCCAACTTATCGACCTATCACACCAGAAACCTTAACGGCAACGGCCCAAGCTCCGATCTTGGCTACCTACCCCTCGAGCTAGTTGAGTCCATCTTCGGCCCTTCCTGGAGCGAGCTTGAGCGATCTTGATCATGTCAGCCGCACTTTCTAGAGCTGAGGAGAACATATACGGCTCTTGGTCTGACTTACCGCATTGCAATATTCTTGCGGTAGAACATGCCCTCGAAATGAACACTCTCAACACCCTTGTAAGCAGCTGATACTGCTTCCTCAAGGGTTTCACCCGTCGCGGCAACGGACAGGACGCGGCCGCCTGCTGTGACTAGTTTATCGTTGACCTGTTCGGTTCCGGCGTGGAAAATATGTACACCTAGGTATGTTTGTCAGCGATGGACCATGGCAATTTCCTGCTCCTACTCACCTTCAGAGGTAGACTTCAATCGGATTAGATCGCCCTTCCTGTATGATTCCGGGTAGCCCTCTGCCGCAACGGTAATATTGCAGGCAAATCCTGCAAGAGTGTCCAGCTTGATGTCACCGAGTCTATCCTCCACACAGGCGAGGATAATCTCAGGCAAGGTCTCGTCTGGAAGCAGAAGCACCATGCTCTGCGTCTCTGGGTCTCCGAAGCGCGCGTTATACTCAAGCACTTTGGGACCTGAGGGCGTCATCATGATTCCCGTGAAGAGCATACCGTTGAATGGTCTCCCTGTATCTCTAGATTATCATCAAATGTGCTGCCGATATTTTGTTACAACTTACTTTCTAGCTCAAGGCCAACAATAGTCGGCAGGATGATTTTCTCTTCGATTTCTGCCATCTGCTCCTCGGTCACCGAAGGAACAGGTGCATACACCCCCATGCCGCCAGTATTCAACCCCTTATCGCCATCGTGAGCCCGCTTGTGGTCTTGACCAGGCGGCAGAGACAGAACCGATGTTCCATCAGTGAAGGTAAGAACGCTGATCTCGTAACCCTCGAGGTATTCCTCAATAATCACCATCTCGCCCGCGTCACCAAACTTGTCCTTGAGCATTATGTCTTCGAGGGCTTGCTCCGCCTCTTCGGTGGTCTCGGGCAGGATGACACCCTTGCCAGCCGCAAGGCCGTCCACCTTGATGACCACTCTGCGGCCCAACCTTCGTACATACGCCTTAGCCTTGTCGCAATCAACCTTGTCGAAGGTTTCGTAGGTCGCGGTTGGAATCTTGCGTCTGCACATAAAATCTTTGGCGAAGTCCTTGGAGCCTTCGATGATGGCCGCTCTCTTACTTGGGGCAAAGCAGCGAATTCCATCTGCCTCATGTTAGACCATACTTCCTCACATGATCCAAAATGACTTACTGCTCCGAAAGTGATCTCCCATGCCTCCAACAATAGCGTCATCTGGGCCGATGATAACGAGGTCGATCCCAAGACTCTTTGACAGCTCTACGAGGCCATTGTAGTCGTCAACCGCTACCTCACGGCAATTTGAGGCTTTCGCCAGGGCTTCTGTGCCTGCGTTGCCTGGCAGAACGTACACATGCTCAACTGATTGCGACCGAGTGAGTTTCCATGCAAGGGCATGTTCACGGCCGCCCTTTCCGATCAGGAGGATCTTCATTTTTGAGTGCTTCGCTAACGCTATACTCGACTTGGGCTTTTGGTGACGATCTTCGGCTTCGGGGTAAGATGATGTGGAGGCTTGCACTGGGAAAATCATCCGAGAACGAAGTTCGCAGTGTGCAGGAATGAATTGCGTTTTATTGGTTAAAGTCGGGGGCAGCAGTGTGCAGGCTGAAGTAAGTGGCCGCTCAGGTGGGAAATGTTGAAGATTGAGATAATCTCGCGACAGCAACTCAATGGAACTCAAAAGTCACCCGCGGAGGACCACCACGATTAAACCTCACTTTCTCCGTAACCTTTCCCCACATCAGCTCTTCGTCGACCAAGTAGCAGCTTCCAATCAGCAGTCGATGATCACCTCTCTGCCGTGCGATGAACGGCATCCGGCCCCCAAAAAGAACCACGACCTCGTCCCCAGGCTGCATCGTCTTGGGCCCAATGCCCACACGGCCATCACGGGTCGCAAACACCTTTCGGTTGTTCAAGTAGGTGCGCACCCCTGCTCAAAAGGTATATAGCTTGTCCTCTCGATCCGGGTTCCCAAACTCCATCGCCGTCGGCGGGAGACCGAACTCAGCCATCTGAGCGAGCAACGTCTCCGCCAAGTCTTGAGCCTCTCGTTCGAGCTCAGCGTGAGATGTGTGAGTGCGGTCGTCAAACAGCGGGTTCAAACCGCCTTGGTTCTTGGTGAGGAGGTGACTATAGCCAATGATGGAACCCAGATCACCAGCCAAGATGGCTTTACAGAATGCCACGTCCAGGAGGCTGTTGTCTCGATACTTTCTCCCGCTTCTAGGAGCGATCGGTAAACCTAAAAGCTGTTCCCAAGCCTGCACGATAGCTTCTGCAGCAGCTCGAGACCCAAATCCAAAGACAACTGTTTCGCTCGTTTGCTGTACCACATCGACGTGGTATCCATCCAAAGACAGAACTTTTGGCCGCACGGGATCGTCGCGGACTGGTATATCGTGAAGCTCGGCAAAGTAACGAAAATGCCCATCACACAAGCCAGCGAGGTAGGCCCCCTTGAAGACGCAACATGTCCTTGGGTCAAACCACTTTGGAACCCAAGACGGATAGTCTCCAAGGCTAGGGTCCTCATCATGCTGGACGTGGTCGAGGACGTCCAGAACCCGAGGCTGCTTGCGCAGGAGAAACCTCGTCAGATCGCAGTATACCAGCACCGTCTCCCTCTTGTAATCCGGCCGCAGAGCTCTCGGCCGGCCGAAGTTGAGATCCGGAGCAAGACAATTGACAAAGTTGTTGACCCGCGTCAAGCCTCGACGAATCAAGCGAATGCGCCAACTATCATTGTTGCCATGGATCTGCGTCAACGCCAGCACGGGGTTCAGCCCCTCGTCGCAAATACCAAGGAGGGAAAAAACCTTGTCTCGATCGTCCGTCGCCTGCAACGTCCGCGTCAGCTCCAGAAGTGCGAGAAACGATCCAATCGAGCCCTCGACCTCGGGCTGACCGAGGAAGCTGTTGGGCTGCCGTCGAATGAGAATCAGATTCCACAACTGGTAGGGCCGGTCAATGACGATTTCGCTCTTCCAACCCGCGAGCACAATCAACGAGGCGATCAAATCGAAAAAGGACATTTCCAGGTCCTCAATCTTGGCAATCGCCCTTGAAGATGCCACCACCTCTTGCACGCACCAGCAACGACTGAAGTACGGACGCTCAAAGACCTCATCTAGATGGATCATGCACGTCTCCGGTAGGTCTTCAACCATGCTGCTCGTCAGATCCTGGACGGTGTCGGGGTCGAGTTACCCGCCGTTAGGTCCAGTAGCCGCCGGATGAGTCAATTCTCTGATCCTCGCGAGCCTCTCCGCGGCTTGAAATGCTTCATGAGTCCCGGACGTTTTGAGACCGAGCCATACGACAACGCGAGCAGCGTGTTTGTAGACCAGCCTCATGTACTGCACCTGCCGAGCACGCTCGTCCAGGTCAGACTGGTCAATACAGAGTGTATCAACCCATAGCCTGCGGATCTGGTTCGGCAAGCGCAGGACCGCAGAGCATCTTCTAGGTTTGGCTTCATGGGAATGGGACAGCCTTGCATCCAGATGTAGTCCCTCGGCTGTTCCGTCGGTTTTCCCCACGTGTAAGACAAAGCCTCGTAAGGAGGCGCATTCTCGACGTCGACGATTTCTAGATGCGCTTCAAAGGGATCTTCTCCCGAGCCTGGGTACAAGAACAGGAGTCGGGTGAACGAAGGTGTGCGAACCTCTGCTGCAATCGGTGGCAGAGGTTGATATCGATACGTGCTCTCCCGTTCCATTGCGCCGTTCTCTTTAGAGGCAGGCAATGCTCTTCGGTTTAGGTTTGAGTATCAGTCCGCAGTATGCGACCACATTGTGAGCCAAATCGTAGATAACTCTCGAACCGTCAAGAGTGCTATCACGTGCGACGTTCCTGTTCAAAAGCCTCATTACTAGAATCGGATATAATTCGTCCGGTTTAGCAGGGGTCACGATGGAAGTTGCCAATCAATTGAGGGCCAGACCTCAGCCGCTCGCGCTAGCTAGACACATGCCAGGCAACCGTGGCTGTCAAGAAGACACGAGATGGTGTGAAGCTGTTGCTAAATATGCGGTGGTACCTCAGTAGGGTTGTTAATACAGTATGCCATCCTTTTGTGGCCGCGTGAATGTTGGAAAGTTTACCAGAAACGCCCCTTTTGTGTGGGCGTAACGTGCCATCAAACTCCTAGCTCTGTGAGAGCCTTCTCCGCATCCGACTCTTGGGTATCATTACAGCAAAAAGAATAGTTACAATGCCATATGTAGCCCGTGACACGCTAATGCCCTCGCCCTGTAGCGACATGTCCAGCTTGGCTGGTCAAGACTGGGGCTCACTCGAGTGTCGGAATCGATAACTCGGCGTGTGGTTAATAAGTAGATCCCATTCGTGCCTCATCGAATCTCAGGTTCCTTCATGAAATCCGGAACGGACAGGCCAGCCTCGAGAACGGAGAGATCCCACGGGTCTGCGGGTTCCTCGTCTGGTTCCTCACTCACAGCTCGCTTCAGGTCTTTGTCAGTCACATACTTTTCACGTACTCAAGGGGGTCAACTTACGCGGTTTGACATGTCCGCATCGATGCTGGGGGTGTCCGTGTCCGCGGCGTAGATCTTGATAGAACGGAGGTGCGTATCCTTGCCGTTCTGATGATTCTCAAGTATCTGCATTTGGAACACATAGGAAACCAACGTATTGCCGTCGGGGCCGCCACCGGCGCCGTCGACTGGAACAATCTGCCAGCCAGAGGGTGTCGAAAGCTCCATTGTGGCAAATTGAATGAGGTTGTTCTCGCTGGTACCGGACTTGAAGATGATCTTGGTTGGTGTGTAAGATTCATCTTCATTATAGTCTACGTAAAAGCGAATATCTCTGATGCCGACTCGCTTGATGAAGTAGACTGTAAGCTTGTGCGGCTGAGGGCCGTCGGATCTGTCTTATTGTCAGCAAAGGTGTGCATTCATTTTTGGAATGAGTCGTCGGTTGAACGCACTGCCAATAGGTTTTCAAGCTGTCGTCGCGAAGCTGGTCGACGCCGTTTCCCTGCTTGTGGCTGCTGACGGTGAATTTCCCCAGGTTTGAAATCTCCTTCAGACCGACGGCGAGGGGGTCGAACTCGGGCTCATCTTGGTGGTCCCCGCCTTGGTCGCCGTTCTCTCCGTCCTCAACACTAGTGTCGGTGCCAGAGATCTCGCCCAGGTCGTCGAGTGGCATGCTGATGCCCTCCTCGTCAGAATACTCCGGGATGGGCTGGCTTCGTAGATACTCCTCCATGTTGGCGCCAGCTCTCATGGCCTCCCAGTCAACGCGTTGCGGCGGGAATGCCTCACCGTCATCAGAATCCTCTTCGTCTCGATGTGAGCCACCTAAGGGGTAAATGAGTCAGCAGTGTTGTGATAAGAAGCTAGAAGTGAAATGGTCAAGATCCATAGCTGGGTTGCTACTTGTCAACCGTCCGAAGTCGATGGCCGGGGCCAGAACATGGACCAGGCGGGTGTTATGCGGCCCCCTGGTCTAATCTCCCGCACTGGGCGTCTAATCGACTGGGAAAGACATTGAAGACTATTTTTTCCGAAGTTCTACAATGTCTTTGTGCAAGAAGTGCAAGGCCAAGGAATTGTTGGAAGCGATACAAGGCTTGCGCAAAAACATGCAATGAGGAGCCAGCAATCCTCATCAAACGGTAGTCGAAATGACACCCCTCCATGAAGAGACCACCACCCCTGTCGGACGCATGCAACTCGAAGCGACATCGAGCAAATGACCATTACCTATGAACTCGCAGGGCTGAATAATTAAATTCACAAGAGCGATGCCCCTCGCTTCGAACACGCCGAGTACGTCGAAGCGCTGGTGGTGTGTCGTATGCGAGGCAGTAGCTAGAGGGTGAAAAGTCATATGCGACTTGTGGGAGGACAAACGCTTGAGCTTGGAATTGGACATCTTTGACAGGAAGAAAAGCGCGACCTACCATTGGGACCAAGAGCTCTTGTCGTTCGGCGGTCGTAATAGTCGCCCGTCCACTGGCTGCTAGGTTCAGTATCGAGGTCGAACCCGTTCTGGGTGAGCTGCTCGGGACTCCGCAGGTCAGGCCGCGGGCGGCCGCCATGAAAGTTGCCCCGCCGTTGGTCGTCCATTTCCTTTCACCAGCTCAAGAGCAGCATTGGTGTATGAGATTGGCGGCCACGGCGCTTTCGTGGGAGAGCATGCGTGGTGATGCTGTTGCTGCGTTCACTGCTGAGAATCACGTGGATCCACCGAGATCTGTCACGTGCTCGCTTGTCGGTGTAAGCTCCCTCACCGGTTCACCGACACACCATCGTCACAAACAGTTCCTTTGCGAATAGTCTACCAGCAATAGGTAACGTAGACATAGCCAATGACCTGCAGTTTCTCTTGAAATAGTTTTCTTGAGGTTTCATTGTGGCTTGAAACACATGCAGAGTATGTTTGTTGGTGGTCAGAGACCTAGAGTTATCTAGCGACTCTATTCCAGATGGCAACATACTTGCCAAAGACATTTATCTAGTTTCGTGAGGGGTTGCCCAAGTAGGAATTGATCCCTTCCACGGGAAAGCTTCAAGCGATTGGTGGTGGTTGTCTCGGCCCCAGATCTTGCATTTCAGCTGAAAACTTCGTTTGCTTTTTGCATGGTCTAGACTCAACGTTACCCCGACTCCGTGTAAGCAATCTACTTGACAGCCTCCTCTGGTAGAGAAACCTCCTTCCACATTGGAACTAAAGTATTGGAGAGACTAATGCATCCAAAAGCCTCAGTGTATCTTCATGTTGTCCTATGTAAGCGCTCGTGCAACGACCTAGTCGACTATTTTCGTACATCTCGTGGTTGTTGCCCAAATGAACAACCACTGATAGAACCAACCGATGGTGAGGTTGTCGTCTCACTTGAGAAACACAGAGTTAAGTCTACATTGACCCATGTGTCTGCGATGTAGCTTTTGGTCCTGATCGCTGCACCTCAGTGGCAAGTCGCATGCAAAAGGTCAACCGGTGAAGAGGGTATCGTCCTTCACGATGTTACCAGCAAGCTACAGGAACTTTTTGTCCAGTGGCTTGCGTTCGAGACCTAGGCCATTGCTGTTGGACTGCACCTTGACTCTCGCCGTCGCTAAATATAATGCTCTACCGCGAGTCACCAGTCTTAACTCTGGTGTATAAAAGGCAAGAAGCATCTTCTCAGGAGAATATGTCAGATCTGAAGCAAGCAGCGCAAATCCAATCACATCTTCTCATCTTGTCTACATCTCAACATCCGATCAACAGCAACTATGAAGGCCTCCGCACTCATTTCAGCTCTGTTCGCTTCCAGCGCTCTGGCAGCTATCGGAAGCTACTGCCACGACAGCAAGGTCTGTTCTGTTCTCCAGAGTATGTCGATGACATCCTCTAATGTCTATTGATCTTGCATAGGGCAACTACGGAACCTGCCAGAAGACCTCCAAGTGCAGCTCTCTCAACGGCTACACCAAGACCAACCTCTGCCCCAATGATCCGGCCGATGTGAAGTGTTGCTTCTACCCAGACTGCAACAGCAACGGGTACTGCCAGAAGGATACTCTCTCTTGCAGCGGCTCATACTCCACGTAGGCCCACCTTATCCAAGTACTCACCTCACCAATCTCAGAATACATGGCTGATCCTTTCATGACATAGTGGTGACTGCCCTGGTCCCTCTGGCTACCGTGTAAGTATTCGTCCTCTATCACACGACTTAATGCTGAGTTTTAACAGTGCTGCAACGTCAGGAAGCCGCCCATTTGCGGCAGAGGCGACAGGAACAAGCGTTGCATTCCCCTCTGAGTGCGGTACAAGGTGGACTGGGCAAGAACACGTATGTAGTTAAATTGGACAACAGACGTGCTTTACCGTAGACGTTTACCTGCTCGAACACAAGTGACATGTGCTTGCCACCGACGCTGGGTTTGTTCGTCATCATCCATTTAGTCATTTGAGAGGTATTGCTATGTGTAGAGCAAGGTATCTATAGTTGGGAGAGGCACTGGATGGAGGGCAGATCACATTTGACGGGGTGGGAGCAGTAGTCAAACTCAACAAGCAATTACATTGCACTTTTCCTGCCAGTAGTAAAAGAGAAACTATGCCCATCCAATGATCAGACCATAAAAACCCCCCAGGTCCATCCCAAAACGCCGGCCAGAGAGATCAAGGTATCATACAGCGCATTGAACAATATGTTTATGCACATGAGGCCCAAGTGCCGTCTATGAATAAGAAAAGCGACGCCGCTTGGCTTCCTAAGCACCAAGGGAGCTGCGCTTCTTCTTCAGCTTCTTCTCCTTCTTGGGCGTCTCATCATCTTCGTGCTTGCGCTTCTTCTTGGTGCTGTCGGTAGCCTTGACGGGCGTCTCGTCGGCCTCGTCCTCGCCCTTCTTGAGCTTCTTCAGCTCCTTCTTGCTGAAGACGACGGGTGTGCCGTCCTCGCCAAGCTGGACGTCACCGCGCTCGAACTTGCGCTTGAACTTGGACACGCTGATGCCAGCGGCCTCGGCGAAACGCTCGTAGTCCTTTTCGCTCAGCTTCGCCGGTGTGCCCTTGACAGCCTTGCTTGCCTTGACAGGAGTCTCGACCGCGGCGATGGAAACGCGCTTCTTCTCCTTCTTTTCCTTCTTCTTGTCCTTTTTGCTCTTCTTCTCTTCTTCGCTAGCGTCGTTCATCTCGGCGTCCTCGTCTTCGCTGTCGGCGTCCTTCATCTCCTCGTCGACGACTTGGATGAGCTTCTTGGACTTGCCGTTGACCTCGGTCTCAACACCGTCGGCGTCGGCGTTGTACTTGCGGGAATCCTTCAGGCTGAAGCCACCGGGGGCAGTGAGCTGACCGTCAGGGCCGACACCAACACCCTTGGGGAGGAGAGGCTTGCCCTCCAGCTTGCGGAGGAGGTTCTCAAGCTTGATGCGGCTGGTGAGGCCGAGGATGCTGCGCTCCTCCTCATCGTCCTGGTTCTCGGTGTCGCCGAGAGCGTCAACACGCAGACCAAGGGCAGTCTTGGCGGCGAGGGAACGGGCGATCTTGCCCTTGTTCTTGCCAGTGGCCTGGCCGACGAGGGAGGAGTGGTAGATGATACCGTACTTGGGTGTGTCGTGCTTGGTCTTGAGAGCGCGGAAGAGCGCCTTCTCGGCACCGTAGATCTGGATGGTGGAGGAGGGAGACTTGGCGAGGGAGATGAGGGAGCCAGCGTGGGCGATAAGGCGGGCACCGACGAGGTAACCAACAAGAGCAGTCAGGTTGGGGGCGAGAGCACGCATGCGGGACTCCAGGTAGGTGGAGAGGGAAGTGCGATACTCGGAGTAGGTAATGACCTGCTGGGCCAACAGTTGGATGTTCTCCAAATCTTCAGGGGTCATCTCAGTTCCCATGGAAATCTCTGCGGCAGTCTTGACAGGGCCCTCAAGCTCCTCGGGGAGAATGTCGGAGAGGTCGGACTCGGCGAAGTCCTGACGCATGCCAACGGCAACGACGAGACGGGCGTACACCAGGTTGTCGTTGAGGATCTTGGCAAGCTCGGGGAAGTGCCAGCCGTACCATTCCTTGGTGCGCATGGCGTAGACGTTGAGCTCCTTGTCGAGATCGTCCACCAACTTAATGGCCTGAACAACCATGGCGTCGACCTTGTCGGCGGAGAACTTGAGCTTATGTCGAGAAATCGAGTGCGACAGACCAAGGGCCATGCGGTCCATGGTCTCGGTGGTGAGGCCAGGAATCAGGGAAGAAAGGTTCTCGCGAACGGCACGGAACAGGTCCTGGGAGGCGGCATCTGAGACGGCCTTGATATCCAAGTCGGGGAGCTTGCCAATGGCAGTACCGAGCTTGAGGTCGGCAACGGCGAGGGTAGCCTTCTTCTCGTCCTTGATCTCCTTGAGCAGGTTGGCGAGCATTGGCGGGACACGACCCTCCTTGAGACCGGCAGCTTCCTCGACGGCGACGGCGGAGCTATCGAACTTGACGAAAGTCTTCAACTTGAGCCTTTGCAAAGGTTAGCCTTGATTGTACTCGACAGCGGTCTGATCGCGGCCAGGAACACGAGTTTGCTTGTACACATCTGCGCTGCCGCGTGCTACTCGTGGAGACTGGCTGCAATTGAAGATTGTGGGAGCGCGACTTACATCTCGTTGATCTGCTCCGAAGAGGTCGGTCCAGTGGTGAGCTCATCGCGCTTGAGAAGCTTCTTGTCGGCAGCCTTGAACAGACCGTAGCTATTCTTCGTGTTAGCTTTCCAATTGCTGCCACACTTTTCTCTCTCTCGTTCTTTTCCGAATGGAAAACTTACCCTGCCGGCGTTTCGGCGAGAACGAAGAGAGACATTGTGAAAACTTTCGACGCTCTTCAAATCTGGCCAAATTGGTCCCTCGGGTGAAATCCTCCGCGCGTGGGTGTAAATGTTGTTGTCGGCGGAGGCAGGTTTCCAGCGAGCGGATTGATGGTTTGGAAATATTTTTTTCTGAACCAAACCAAGCTCCACCAATTTTTTTTTCGATGGCTGCAGAGCCTTTGGGCGGGTCCCCACCCCACACACCAATTGGCAAGTGGGATGACTCGGAGCGCGTAAAATCTGTTTCGCCGAGGAAAGCCGCCTCCGATGGTCTGTGCACCACTGCTGGGTGGACTTGCCTTGGTCGGCCTTGCTGGAACCTTGGAGCTGCCGTGCAGAGAAGAGAGCGAGGAAGCGTAAGGTAAAGTCAACGACCACAGCTGTCTCCGTTTGCGCCTCCACCAGACAGGCGTCACCACTCCAGCCGCCTTCGAATCGAATAATCCACAACACAGCCAAGATGGAGGGCCTATTCTTCAACGTCAACAGCGGGTATGTTTTGGGGTCATGATAGAGATAACCTGGCACGTGGCTGAGCTAACACGATGCAGCTACATTGAGGGCATCGTTCGTGGATACAGGAACGGCCTTCTTACCGGCTCCAACTATGCCAACCTGACGCAGTGCGAGACCATCGACGGTGAGTGTTTCTATGTGCTCCGGTGCGATGCATGTCTAATACGGTTCCAGATCTCAAGTTGCAACTCGGTCCTGCGTATGGCGACTTCCTCGGCAACCTCCCTCCCAACCCCTCGACATCAGCTCTCGCCGCGAAGACGACCGACAAACTTGTCTCCGAATTCCGCTATGTTCGCGCCAATGCCGTCGGCTCCCTTGCCCAGTTCATGGACTACCTCACCTACGGTTACATGATCGACAACGTTGCCCTGCTGATTACCGGCACCCTGCACGAACGAGACACCCGCGAGCTTCTTGAGAGATGCCATCCTCTGGGCTGGTTCGAGACCATGCCAGTCCTGTGCGTTGCGACGAATATCGAGGAGCTTTACAACAGTGTTTTGATCGAGACCCCGCTTGCCGCCTACTTCAAGGGCAGTCTTAGTCACCAGGATCTCGACGAGCTCAACATCGAGATTGTCCGAAACACGCTGTACAAGAACTACTTGGAGGACTTCCACAACTTCGTGAACACCCACCCTGATATGGCAGGCTCGCCGACAGCTGAGGTCATGTCAGAGATCCTCGAGTTCGAGGCCGATCGCCGTGCGATCAACATCACCCTCAACTCTTTCGGCACGGAGCTTAACAAGAATGACCGCAAGAAGTTGTATCCCAGCTTTGGCAAGCTGTACCCAGAGGGTACCTTGATGCTCTCTAGAGCGGAAGACTTCGAGGGCGTTCGTCTTGCAGTTGATGGAGTTGGCGACTACAAGAGCTTCTTCGAGGCAGCTGGTCTCGGCGGTGGTCCCTCTGGCCCGGGTAACCAGGGCGGCGGCTCAAGCTCCGACGGCAAGAGCCTTGAGGATATGTTTTACCAAAAGGAGATGGAGATCTCCAAGAGCGCATTCACTCAACAGTTTAGTTTCGCCATCGTGTATTCGTGGGTGAGACTCCGCGAGCAGGTAAGAATCGAAACTCCTGAACATGACATAGACAAGGCTAACGACAAGCAGGAAATCCGCAACATCACCTGGATCGCCGAGTGCATAGCTCAGAACCAGAAAGACCGGATTGGCAACTACATCAGCGTGTTCTAAGTTTAATGTTTTGCAGTCCTGTTCTGTTAGTTTTGTAGAATACCAGTTTCATCGTTTAATGGCAGGTCACAATGGCGCAAGGAGGGAGCTCAGGTTCATGACGTGGAGATCAGCATCTTTACCGATCGCTATAGTGTACATAGAGGACAATTACAAGTCTGAGTTTTACACGTGTCTACCTTTTTCCCGCACCTAGCTCGCCTAGAAGCTGATCTGCTCCTTGTAGGTCGCCGGTGACAGGCCAAGCTTCTCGAGCAGATGCGTCCACCGCCCGCTTCCTCTCTCACTACGCTCCATGTACTTGAGAAGCTTCTGCCGCCTATGGCACAAGACTCTCAAATTTCTCTTGTTGTGTTTGTCCTTGTAACCGCGGTTCTGTGACAGCTCTTGCGAAAGCTTCCTGATCTTGGCGGTCAGAATGGCAACCTGGACCTCTGAGCTACCAGTGTCGGGGCCACCTCGAATCGGCTTCTTGGGGGCTTTGGGGTCCACGAGAGCAGACTTGGGCTTCTTCGTCAGGAACTTGTCGGTGTTGTGTCGGCCAAACTCCTGGACACATCTCTTAATGTTGGTGTGGAGGAGGATCTTTGAGTTGGCATTGTCCATGGACAGGATACGTTGCAAAGCCTCGACTGCCTTGGCGTGGTTCAGCTTATGCTTCTTGTCGGCCAGTGCTTCCATAGCAGGGTCTGCCAGCTCCCTGATCTCCGACTTTACGGGTTTCGTCAAGATGTAGGCCTTTTCTATCACTGCTTTGAGCTCCTTCTCGTCGACAAGGTGGTTGAGAAGCCCCGGCGAGGTGGGCAGAGGGCGAGGGTCGGCGATGATGTTTCCATTGTCGTCCTTGAC